TCGCCACATCCCTTCTCTACGCCGCTGCATTGTCTGGCGCCGCACAAACCCCAATCCTCTGAATTCTGAAGGAGCCCCACAGAAATCATCATGAGCCCAAAAGGGCCTCACAATCCGTGGGGTCTGTTTAAGATCCTTCGGAAGATATTGATCGTTGACTCCGCCCTTCACATGGCAACGCCAAATTGACGACAAACATGTTCTTCTACCCGTCGCAGTGCAACCGCAAACCGGTGGACAATCTACTACTATGCTCTACTCGTCACGTGGGAACGACGGGGTGGGGGCGCAAACAAGCAGCATTGTACTTGACCCTTTACTTGTCAAGGCCTGGGGGAGAAACACATACCAGTATATCAGCTCGCTACGCGGCAACGCAGGGCTGGAAACATGCTTTTTCACTCAACCCGACGCACGGCAATGCAAGGCGGCAGAACATATATCATTGAACTCGACCCGTCGTTCGGGCAAAACCTGGGGCAGGCGAACAAATACTGTTCCACTCTACTCGTGGCGTGGCCTCGCACGGGGCGCAAACAATGTGGTTCGACACCACTCGTCGCGCGGCAGCGCAGGGGAGGAGCGAAAACATGTTGTACTTCGCTCGACCCGTCACGCGCAACGCGAGCAGGCAAGCCAAGTAAGATTCTTCTCTGCTCGCCACGCGCGCGACAGAAGAGGGGTAGGCCCTCTCCTCCAGTCCATCCCCCTCGCACCTCCGAACCTCCCTCAACATGCCTCCTTCACTGCCGCCCTCCCCACACGCCGAATTCCTCCCCCTCCCCTGCCAAGGTCTGCGAAAACCGTCGGGCCAAGCACTCCCAGAACATGGCGGGGAATCGAAGATCGGCTCCCATCTCTCTCGCCCCTCTCCTTTTGGACTTCCCCAGCCCGAACGCCTGTCTTCGCCACTTTCCGCCAATCCTGTGTCAAGTGCCACAGAGCCCCCAAGCCTCACGAGTGTCAGAAGGCCAGATGTGAATCCTCAGACGTAGAACATCCGTAGGAATCCTCCAGAATCCGTCGGGCATGCTTGGGGCACTTCTGGAAGTCGTCGGCAGTCGGCTCCACCCGTCATGCGTCAACGACTTGGGGCAAGGGGGGCACCACGCAAATATTGATTTCTGTTGCTCGCCGAACGGCAACGCAAAGGTGAGGGACAACATACGCTTCCCCTGTGCTCCTCGCGCAGCAGCGCTGGGGGCACCGCAGACACACACAGCGTTGCGTTTTTCGCCCGCGCCGCGTGGCAACGCCTGGGGGGGCGAGCGCGAGGAATACGAGACGACCTCTGCTCGCCGCGCGGCCACTCTGAAGAGGGCGGAGCAGCTGTGTTCTTCCCAGTCTGCTCGCCCACGCGCGGCCACGCGAGGCTGCGGAGAAGCGCACGGGGCTCTGCTCTGCCCGTCGCTCGGCCACGCCTTGGGGGAGGAGAGGGGACGAAGATCACATGTTCCGGCAGACTCGCCGCACGGGCTCCGCACGAGGCGGTGCAGACGCGGTTCCAAGCCCCGCTCGTCGCGCGGCCTCGCAGGGGGGCGGACACCGCTCCGTCCCCACGCGTCGAGGCCAACATGCGTCGTATTGCTTGCGACCAACCCCCTGCGTGGCCCCACATCCGTGCTCCCTGGCACGTCGAGGCGTGCTGAAATGCCAGGTGCTGTCTGGTGGGGCTCCTGTGTAACATTTTTAGAAAGGGGCCCCCCCTCGCCCCGCCGCACCTCGCCGCGCGCACCGGCCCTGCTCTCGGGGGGGCCCTGGGCGGCCACGGCGCCTCCCTGCGGCTCTCCAAGGCTCCCACGACGGCCCAGGAGGCCCCCAGGATGGTCCAAGAGTGCCCCGAGTCGCCGAACGATCGCCCGAAGATGCCCAAGGTGGCCTCAAGATGGCGCAAGAGGCTTCCAAGGCGGCCCAAGAGGCCTGCGAGAGGCCTCCAAGAGGCCTCCCCAGAGGGCCCTCCAAGGCAAACATCTGTGATATTCCTCCGGGTTTTGAAAGATTTTGGCGTTCTTGCCTTTTCGGCTTTCCGACGCTCCAAGACGGCCGAAGAGTCCCACAAGACCACCCCAAAACAGCCAACGAGGGCTCCAAGAGGGCCCATGAGGGCCCCGAAACGGCCCGAAAAGGGGCTCCCAGAGAGAAAACGCTAACCGAAAATCCGAACCTTCCGCCCCAAGGGCCCCCCCAAGAGGCCCCCAAACGGCCCCCAAGAGGCCCCCTGGAGGCCCCAAAACGGCCCCCAAGAGGCTCCAGGCTGGCACGGTGGCGGGACTTGCCGCGGGCAGTTGGATCCGCCGCCCCCTGCTTGCAGGGGTGCACGGCGTGCTGGATGTTTCAGGTTTTGGTTTTGGTTCTTTTTCCAAAAGAACTCCCCAGTGGGCTCCGGCAGAACCCGCCGGCCACCCGGAAGGCCCCCAAACGTGCTCAACGACCGGAAAAAATCCTCCAAAAAACGGCCGTTTCGCTCGGGACATCCTCAAAAAATCGCGAAGATGGCCCAAGATGGCCTCCAAGTCCGCCCGAGATGGTCCAAGACGGCCTCCAAAACGGCCCAAGAGAGTCCAAGACGGCCCAAGACGGCCCAAGAGGCCCCCCAGAGGCCTCCCAGACGGCCCAAGAGGCCTCCAAGAGGTCCTCCAGGAGAGTCCGAAGAGGCCAAAATCATTGATTTTTCATTGGTTTTTGAAGGATTCTGGCATTTGCGCCTTTTCGGCTCTCCGACGGCTCGAGACGGCCCAAGAAGCCCCCAAGATCGCCCAAGAGGCCCCCAAGAGAGCCCCATGATGGCCCAAGTGGCCTCCAAGATGGCCCCTAGAGGGCCCCAAGAGGGCCCAAGAGGCCTCCAACACGCCCAAGATGGCCTCCCAGACGCCCAAGATGGCCTCCAAGACGGCCCTGGAGCATTCCAAGCGGGCCCCAAGTCGGCCCATAGAGGCCCCCCAAACGGCTTCCGACGGCTTCAGACGTGCCAGGAACCCACCAAGATGGCCGAAGTTGGCTCGAAGCTGGCCCGAGACGGCCCAAAAAGCCCCAAAGATCGCCCAAAGCTTGCCCAAGAGGCCTCCAAGACGGCCAAGATGACCTTCAAGATGCCCACGTGTTCCCCGAAGGCTTTCCAAACCGATTCGGGGAACACGTGGTCCGATAGCTTGGCAGGTCTGGCCTCAACGTTCGGCCACATAGGCGCTTCCAAAAAGGCAGGGGGCGGCGGTGATTCGCCGTAGGCGTCTTCGATAGAAAATCTGGAGAGGAAAAGTCCGCGGAATGTTCCCCCCACCACCCCAAGCGCCCCTCTCCCCCCGCGCACGCCCGGACGTGGCGGCCGAATCGCGCGGCAGCGCAACTGGATCCCATCAGATTCCACTCGCCGCGCGGCCATGCTGGAGGCGGAAAATGCTTTTCCAGTCTGCTCATCGCAACGGGACCCGGGCAACGGGCTGCCCTGGATCCCGACTCCCCAGACGACGACCGCGACGACCTCCTCCCGCTCCTCAGTGTCGACCTGCTCCACCCTCGTCTTCATCCGTTCGCACCCCCCCTCTTGCTCATCCTCATCTTCCTCATCCTTGTTGTCCACGTGCAACGTTCGCTCTTGCTCCGCGTCCTCCTCGTCTCCCGCGTCTTTTTCCTTCGCCTCGCACTCATCCTCGCCATCCTTTCCCCCATTTCCTCCTCCTCCTCCGCCTCCTCCTCCTCCTCCTCCTCCTCCACCCCCTCCTCCTGATCATAACCTCCTCCGCGCGGCCGCAGACCCTCTCAAGACGCGGACGCAGAGAGAACTGCGCACCGCCCCTCCGACCCCTCCCTCCTCCCCGTCATGTACTGGAAAGGCCGTCTAGCAGGACGCTCCCAGAACGTGGCGGCGAATCGAGGGCGGCTCCGGCGGGCCCGAGAACCAGCCATAGCCAGATAAAGGGCTCTGGCTGGTTTTCGGAACGTCCTCCTCAACGTTCTCCTCCTCCTCCTCCTCCTCCACCTCCTCCCCCTTGCCTCCTCCTTCTCCGCCTCATCCAACTCTCTAGACTTCTGCGGCTAGCGTCTTCCGTGCTTCCCGGGGTCGACGTGCCCGAAATCCTGGGTTCGTGCGTCCTCTGGTTCACAGGCTCGTCTCTGTTCCGTTCTGGGGTTCGCGCCCCCCCGTTTCCTGGCTTTTGCTCGTCTCCTTGGGTCAAGCTCGAACTCCTTTTCTCCTCCCCTGACCTGCTGGAAGCCTGTTGGGCAAATATCGCGCGCCGCCCAGTGCTCTGTTCGGTGCCTCTCAGTTATCGCGGATACACGGGAGAGGAGGCGGGCGTGACAGCGTCGCACACGTCGTCTCGCCAAGTAACCTCCTCTACGGTTATATGTTGTTTATTATTATTATTAGTATTACTATTACTACTATTATTATTATTATTATTATTATTATTATTCTCCTCCTCCTCCTCCTCCGAACAGACCTTGTGGCATGGGGCACTGTGACACTGAGGAATAATATACCTGCTTCGCGCTGTGCTCCAACCCTTCGCGCTCGCATCTTCATCTCCTGAATATTACCGTGTTGAGCCAATGTGACTGCACCCGCGCTTCGGCACGCTATCCTTTTGCCGCAACCATGCATGCGCACAGGCACTTGTTCAAAGCCCTACCATAAGGAACTGCAATCGCTCGCCCGTCGATGAAAGCCCCCTCCCCCTCCAACGCCGACAAGGCCTTCTTGCCTCAGGGATTGGATAGATCAAACAGAGCCTGCCCGTCCCAGAGCGTGGAGCTCCAGCGCGAGCGGAGAGGGGGGGCCGACGCAGCGGAGGAGGAGGAGCAGCAGCGGCGGCAAGGAGCTGCTGCTGCTCCTCCTTCTCCTCCTCCTCCTCCTCCTCCTCCTCCAAATCATTCTCCAGCACCTCCTCCAACTGCTCCTCCTCCTCCTCCTCCTCGTCCTCCTCCTCCTCCTCCTCCTCCTCCTCCTCCTCCTCCTCCTGCTCGCCCCTCGGAGTGCGACCCCCCCCCCCGCTCTCTCGGGCCTTGGCCTTGGCCGCCTCGGCGCTCCTGCTTGCTGCGTCCTGCGCCGCCTGCCCGGCCGGGCCGGGCAGGGGCACCCGCGGGAGAACCGAGGACCATCCCTGCCTAGGGGGGGGTCCCCTGTCCTCCCCTCCCCTCCCCTCCCCTCTCCTCCTCTCTCCTCCCCTCTCCTCTCCTCTCCTCCTCCCCTCTCCTCTCCCCTCCTCTCCTCCCTCTCCCCCCGCCCTTCGCCGTTCCCCTCCCCTCTCGCCCTCCCGCCCTCGCGAACGCAACGGCCTGCTCGAGCCAGAACGCTTCCCTCTATCCTTCCTCCGTCCCTCCACCTCCTCCCTCCTCCTGCCCTTCCCCCCCAAAAAAACTTCCTCCTCCGTCCGCGGGCGCGGCTGGAGGATCAGAGGAGGGAACGAGGGGGGACTGGGAGGAGGAGGCGGAGGAGGAGGGAGGAGGAGGAGGAGGAGGAGGAGGAGGAGGAGGAGGAGGAAGAGGAGGAGGAGGAGGGAGGGGGGACTGGGAGGAGGAGGCGGAGGAGGAGGGAGGTAGGGGGGAGGAGGGAGAGAACTCGCAGGATGACACCAGATCCACGGCCCAAGATTCCCATGACATTTGCAAGGGCTGTGACTTCTGGTGGGCATCCGTGGGAGACTCCGTGGCTGCGGATCGCCAATTCCGAACGGTCCCAAAAAACAATCGAAAACGAAAGGGCGAGACAATACGAACAGCAGTGGGGCCCCTGCCATGTTGGAAAAGTGTGGCCTCTGGGGGGGGCATCTTTGGATGGCCACTGGGCCTCAAGGAGACATGGTGGAGGCTATCTTGGAAGCAGTCTTGGAGGTAGTCTTGGAGCAAACATGTTGGAGCCACCTTGGGCCCAACAGAAACCTTGACATCTCGCCCCCCCCCCCCCCCCGCCCTCTCACACCCAGGGGAAGGAGGCGCCCATTCCCGAAGGGGAAGAAGGGGTTTTGAAGAAGAAAGAAACACCTTAGACCACCTCCGCTCTAAAGGGCTGGTGGGATTCCACAGGATCGTGGCCCTGGGAGCGTGGAGCCGTTGCAACTCACAAAATATGGTGGCCCTGGGGGCGCGGATCCAGACAGACTTAGAAGACGTCGTTGCCGTGGGAGCGCGGATTCGGCAGAGAGTCGTGGCCCTGGGAGCGCGGACCCAGCGTAATCTATACATGATCGTGGCCGTGGGAGCGCGGACCCAGAGTAAATCGTTATCCTGGGAACGGAGATCCGATGTTATTTACTATGGGTCGTGGCCCCGAGACCGCGAATCCGGCGTACATCACAAAGCTCGTGGAACCAAGTCGTGCTGCGTTCTCACATGTTCGCTTGCTGTGTGCGTGGGAGGCCTCAGAGTGGCTGCATAATCGCCTAGGCGATGCCCAAGATGGTTTTGGTTCTTTCCCAAGGTAGGCTCGAGCGCGCCTCAGTATGTGTGTTTGTGTGTGTGTGTGTGAAACTTCGTCCACGTGCGAGCGCACGCCTAGCTCTGGGTACTTCACCTGGTGCACCTCGCTGCGGCCTCCACCGCTCCTGCGGCAAAGGGTCTGGCATGCCCCTCCTTTTCCACGCATGCCGGCACAGGGCCCTGTCTTCCTCCCTGCCAGGGGATTCCACAAGGTCGCCAGGCAGAGGCTCTACAGCCCCCGGGGCGTAGCATCCCTGCGCATGCGTTGGGGGTGATCCCGAGAGGTGACGAATCGAACGGAAGCGCTGCCGGAGGTCAGTGTGGCACACACGGCAAACGCCGTCCGCAAACGGGGCCAAGCGGGCTCCAAGACGGCCCCAAGAGCGCCCAATGTCGCTCCGAAGGCACCCCACGAGGCCAGAGGTGACTTTTCGGGCTCCAGCGGGGCGATATTTCCTCTTCCATCCTCATTCGTTTTCTTCGTGGAGAGTTTGACACTGCACAAGCAACCTCTGCCCCACTCTACTGGCCCCTAACAAGGCAGGGCCAGTGCCCCCCTCACTATCCCTGCCTCGAAAAAATGAAAAAGTGCACGTTGCGGCAAAAGCTGGATCAAGTTCGGGCGCCCCGCGATCACTTTACATGGTTTGTTTGGCAAGTGCGAGGTGGGGTGTTCGCGTAGTGCCCCGCGTGAGCAGGCTTACCATCCCTTTGCAACACACATTCGGAATTCACGTTGCGGTAAATCTTGAAGGGGCGCCCCGCGACACTTGCGCACGCTTATCTGACCAGTTCTTTAGGGCGTAGGTGGTTTAGGATGTCAGTTCTTTCAGCCTCCGTCCTCCCCTTCGGGGAGAGGCTGATCTCTCCCCCTCCCTCCTCTCTCTGGATCTGGAGCGGGAAGGGTTTACGAGGGGTTAGGGCGTCCAACATGGCTTAAGCTGGCCCTCCCAGATAACAACATATGGCCGAATATGGTGCAAGATAGATGATAACGTGCCTCCGAGAAGCCCCAAGACCTTCCCAAGACGATTACAAGTGGCCACGGAGCGTTCCAAGGACCCCCCCGAGAGACCCCAATCCTTCTCACACCTAAGGACATCAATATTTTGTAGACTCCTCCCTCTTCGCTCCCGATGGCTCCACACTGTCCCCCAAAAAGCTCCTAAGAAAGGCCAAGGGGCCCACCCAGTACGGAGCCAAGAGCGCCCGAGAGCACCCCAAGAGGCCACGTTTCGGCCACCGATGGGGGGGCAGAGAGGGGGGCGTATATAACTGAGGACCCCCCTTTTTCCCTACCTAGGCTCTGCCTAGAAGGGTTCTTACTCGGTATGCTTAAAGGGCCGGGCAGTGCAACTCGCCCCGGGCGGTTCCCCCAGTATCCGCCCCGCGGTTACCCCAGTTACGTCCCCTTAGCTTAGCGTTGCTTATCTCATCTTAGCTTAGCTTAGTTCATCTTAGCTTAGCTTCATCTTAGCTTAACTTAGCTTCATATAGATGTTGCTTTCCTAGATCCTCCAACTCCTAGGTAGGGTCGCACTGATATAATGTTGATCGATGGCCGCTGAGATGGCCCCAAGAGCACCCCCAAGGCCCCCACGAAGGCCTCCCAAACAGCCCAAGAGAGGACCACACCGGAGCCCCAATTGCCTCCAAATTGGCAACAGCATGGCCAAAGTAAGCTGCCAGTACGCTCCCATAATGCGGGATGACGATTAATCAAAAAATGGGAGAGAACGATAAAAAAATAGTTCCCTGCTATTTCTGCAACATTTTCGGACTGGAGGAGAACGATATTAAAACATAGTTTTCCAGCCCGGCCGGTTTTTTCTAATCGTCATCCCGGGCGCCGCCGCGTGAACACGACCCCCAGTCATTTATGAATCGTCATCCTCCATTATCTACATATCCGCGGGCGCGGGGGCATTCATGGCTGACTCCTGGGCCTGCTCAGGCTGATCCCGATCTTCGGTGGCGGCTGCCCCTACTATTTGTTCCACTACGTTCTCCTGCACTTCCCTGATCAATGCAACTCGCCTGGGCATCGATGCTGGACGAGCTGGTCGGGATACCCGCAGCGTCAAGAATTTGACAGGGATCATGGGGGTACCCTGGCACGCGCGGCTCACCTCGCGGGCGTCGCGCACCTGGCTGGCGTCTGCATTCGTTCCAACTGGTTGTCGATGACGGCCCCTGCCCATGCTGAGGCTCGGGTGATACTTCTATGTTGGGGGAGCGGGTGGAAATGGTGAGCGAGACGACTTTCGGTCTGTGGGTATCTTGACCCCTCCTCCACCCCCTCCCTGAGTCTGGCCGGGGGGGAGAGGGGCGCGATGTGTCAGAGAGGATTGTTTGACCCTAGACGGCTCCAATGCTACCCCAGACAACCCAAGCTGACCTTCAGGATGGAATCAGATACTCGAAGATGGGTCAAGCTGGCCTCCACGATGCCTCCAAGAGGCCCAACAATTTCACAAGGCAGCTCCGAATGGCCACGGAGCTTCCCACGGACGCCACCAAGCACCCCGAACCCTTCCAATACTCTAGAACAAACGAGACAGCTTAGTGATTGATGTGTGTTGCCTGTTCGCCTTTTCGCTTCCGATGGGCTTCTGAAGTTGGGCGGCTGCAATATGGGCCCCCAAAGGCACCAAGACGGTCCCAAGAGCGCCCCCAAAGAACTTCAACCTGGAGCCCAGATGCGACCCGATGCGCCCCTCCGGGCTCAAGATGGGCGGTGCTAATCGTCGCCGCCTCTTTCCTGACTTGCATCCAAGATGGCCCCGAGAGGGCTTCCAGATGGCCCCTAAGGGCCTGTAAACAACTTCCGTAGCGAAAGGTCCGTGAATGTTTGTCTGTTTGGCTTTTCGTCGTCGTGGCCGCCGCCTTCTTCCTGTCCCATCCTCCTCCTTCTGCTCCTCCTCTTCTCTTTCCTCCTGCGATTCCCCACATCTCATCCTCCTTATCCTCAATCTCCTATCCGTCCTTTACTTCCTCCTTCTCATTCTCATCGTCCTCCTCTTCCTTTCGCCTCGGGTTCGCCTGAAATTGGTTGGTCACGTATTCTGTCTCGTCTGTCTCCTCATTCCTCCTCCTCCTCCTCCTCCTTCTCCTCCTCCTCCTCCTCCCCCTCCTCTTCCCCTCCTCTGGCTCCTCCACCTGTTTGTCCTCCTGCCTCTTCCTCATCCTCCCTCCTTCGCCTCCTCTTCGTTCGACAGGGCCGCGAAGGCATATGTGGTTCACTGATGTGCCTGCTCAGGCTGATCCAAAACGTCGACTTGCGTGTAGACATCCACGGTCAACGGCCCAGTCAGAGTGGGCACAACGAGGACAGCTCGGCTGTGACCCTTTTTCCTGCAAGGATGGAGCCCTTCGCCGAGCTGTCGCCAGTTTGCACTCCTGTGCGGTTCGGCGAGGGACTCGCAATTCTTGCCCAGCTTCGCCCGCCGCTCACCTGAGGTGTAGCAGCCGCAACGCTGGCAAAGACACACGAACGACGCGTCACTGCAATCGATGAGCACGCAGCGGTGGTGCAGCTCTCTCAAGGATTGAGGTCTGACCCTGGGGTGGCGTGTGCACCTGCTTGCTGGAGCCTGTTTGAGGGAGCGCGAACCTTTGAGCCAGTGCGGACACTGCCGAACAATCCTTGGAGGATAACCAACGGGAGTCTACTCGTGGCCTGGAGCTTCGCCTCGGTCCGCCTTCGGCTTCGGCACCAATTGGACTCCGTCCAAACCCTCATGAGGCCAGAGCGGCATCACACGAGCGGCCAACTTCACAACGGCTCTGGGGACAGCCACGCGATGAGCAACCCGCCTGTTGTCCTCCTCGGAGCCATCGGGATGAAGACTGGCTCCCAACTCCAAATCCGCGGCCCGATCGACCCAGTCGTTCCCCTTCCTCCGAGAAATCTCTTCGGGGTCGAGGTAGGGGTCTAATTCGAGTTGGGCCCCCCACCGTGTCCAGACCAGAGATTGCTCCGTCGAACAAAGCGTCGGCTTGCCAGAGAAGGCCCGAATACATACGACGATACGAATAGCGCTCAGGGCCTACACGGAGACCACAGCTTCACGACATTCTGACGATCGCCCATGGAACGAACGGGATGAAGCGACAGATAGGCTGACATGCACGCTGGGCCCCCATCTTTGTTCCACTGCATGTCCATACGCTTCCCTGATCGATGCAACTAGCATCGCTTCTGGATGGGCTGCGGGGGACACGCGAAGCGTCGGCAATGTACAACAAATCCGCGATCGCAGAGCAACGATCCGCTATACATTCCGCGCTCCCAGAGCTCCCAATGCAACGATGCCATACTTCGAAGTGGGCCCACGTTCGTAGGGCGAGATTCCCCTGCAGCGCAGCCCAAGATCACCCGAGTGGCTTCTGCGCGGCCTGAGTACGCACTAGGGCAAAACACACATGCCACGGTACGAGCGTCCTGCGTTTCCAGAAAGCTTCAGAAGGCCCCACAAGAGCAGCACGAAGACCCACACATGTGCCTGAGAGGGCCCGAGATAGACCCGGCATACGGGGGCCAAAGAGATCAAGGAAGGCTCGCTTACGAGGGGGGGTGGCTCCTTGGGCGGCCCCGTGGTAGAGGGGCGGCAGTGGTAATCGTGTGGTGGTCACTAGTTATACGTGGGATGTGAAGCACGTGTTGCGCAGATGTCTTTCGCTGTCCGTGTCACCCAAGCGTTGGGGATAGGCAGAGCTTGCGTATGCCGCATCAGCCGCCGGCCCTCCCAAATCTCGCCCTCCCTAATCTCGCCCTAAATCTCATATTCGCGGCTGGCTTACCACCTTGGCGGCCCTCCTAACCTCTCTCCCTTGCCCCCCCCGAAGCGAGCCAGCGAAACTCTAGTGACACCGGTGGCAATGCGCAATGTTGCATGGACTTCACGATTCAAAATACCCGTGTCTTTGCGCTCGCCCTGTGCCCCACTTGTCATGGGGAGCGCGCAGGCTGGAGACAAGGATAATGGTGCGGGGGGGAGGAGGAGAACGACGACAGCCATGATGCCGAGCAACCGAGCAAGAGGTGGATGAATAGGAGTAGCAGCAGGATGGCGATGAGGACGAGGAGGGCGAGGAGGACGATTGAGACTGAAGCAACGGGTATGACGGGGAGAAGGAGGTGAGCTGTTGAGGGCCAAAACCAATGTCCCGAATCGCTTGCGGCCGCTTGGCAAAATATTGAAGCATATGCAAGGAAGGTCTGTGCCGCCTCCGCTCCGCTGCCTGGCTGCGGAAACATAATTACGAGGAGGATGATGATGAGGAGGAGGAGGAGGAGCACAAGGAGGAGCATGAGGACGTCGAGACTGACTGGGAAAGCAGGGAGACGGAGGCGAGGGGAGGAGAAGGAGGACAAGGACGAGTAGGAGGAGAAGGAGGAGGACAATGAAGAGGACACGGAGGAGGAGGAGGAGGAGGAGGAGGAGGAGGAGGAGGAGGACAAGGAGGACAAGGAGGACAAGGAGGACAAGGAGGACCAGGGCAGGAGGAGGAGGAGGAAGACGACGACGAGGACGACCGAACCTCAGGGATGCAGCTGCGAGAGGGCGAGCGGCGAGAACACGCCGCGACCCCGCGAGCGCCCGGCGCCTCCGCGCAGGGCGGGCCGCCCCGGATGCCCGACCTGGGGGGCGCGCGGCCGCGGGGGGCGGATGGCGCTCGCTCCGCTTCGCTTCGCTCTCGAGGGGCGGGCGGGCTGTGGAGCGAACAGTTCATCGAGCTCTCCCTGGCCCAAGAGGAGGAGGAGGAGGAGGAGGAGGAGGAGGAGGAGGAGGAGGAGGAGGAGGAGGAGGAGGAGGAGGAGCAGGAGCAGGAGCAGGAGCAGGAGCAGGAGCAGGAGCAGGAGCACGCGCGGAGTGGCCGCGTCGTGATCCTCCTCTCGCGCGAGGGCGCGCCCGACGGCCCCGTCCGCTGCGGCGCGGGCAGGTGCTGCGACGGCGGCCCCGGATCGGGCACGTGCTGACATCACCGCCGCGGGGAGCACCCGCGGGAGGAGCTCAGGGTGAACACTCCTCCTCCTCCTCCTCCTCCTCCTCCTCCCTCCTCCTCCTCCTCCTCCTCCTCCTCCTCTCAAGCGGCTCCAGGCTCCCCGCCGCGGGAGGAGCACCGCCGCGGGGAGCACCCGCGTGACGAGCGAACGACTCACACCCATACCCATAGGAGGGTCGAAAGGAGGGGAACTTGCTATGGGTATGGGTGCGAGTTGTCGGACCCTGGGGGAAGCTCCCGTTCGAGCGGGGACCCCCATCCGACAACACGCACCCCTAGCCTCCTCAGTCCCCCCTATGGGTATGGGTGCGTGTTGTTCGATCGTCACTCAGGGAGAGGTCCCCCTTGTGTTAGGAGGCAGCTCCTGGGAGGACTTCGCCAGAAAGATTGAAGACTAGAAAGCACAATACAGGAGCCACAAAGAGCCGGGTCAGCCCAAAGGAAGCTCAACATTGAGCCGGATTCTGCGGGATCAAACCAGATTGAAGCGGGGGAGAGCTGGATCAGGCCAGTTTTCGACCAGGGATATACCAGCGCCGATTCAGAATTTGACCTCCCAGGAGTTGCATCCTAGCTGGTGGTGTGGTCCCCCCCCTCTCGCTCGAGACATCCCCTATCCCCCCCCAGCTTGGGGAGGCATCGTGGACCCCCTCGCTGGAGGTGGCCCCACTGGAGGTGGTGGTGTCGCTTATCCTTCCCCTGAGAGGGGATGCGTCTGCGCTGGGGCAGGTCGTCCCAGCGTTAGAGCATTGCGCTCAAACCCCCTCGGGCCTGCGGGCCGCAGCCCCTGACCCAGACCGCAGGGGAAACACGCGAGCGAGCGCGACCCCTGACCCTGACCGAGAGGGGAGGCCTCCGCCGCGAGCGCAGGGCAAACGTGGAGAGCCGGGCTGAGGAACCGACGGCCGCCGCCTCCCCAAGCATGATCGGGCCTCGCAACACTTGGAAACAAATGGTAGCCAGCGTGAACCCCAGACAGCGCGTTCTAGCATATTATGTGGTGCAATATGCGTAGTGCAACATATATATATATATATATATATATGTATATATGTTTATATATATATATACACATGTGGTGCAATATATAGATATATATATACATATATATGTGGTGTAAGCTAGGTGGTGCAATCTTTGCGGTACAATATTTGCAATCGATTGTAATGCAATGGAGGGTGCATTGGGGCGGCGGCTACGAGCGGCTACGGGCGGCGACGAGGCGGCGACGGGCGGCGACGGCGACCGCAAGCGCGGCGGCCGACACACAGGCCTAGAAGTAGCGGCGACGGACGGCGGCGACGGACGGCGGCGACGGGCGACGGCGACGGGCGGCGACGGCGACAAGCCGCCCAGAGCGATACCCAGGCCCAGTTCTTTTTAGACCAAGCAAGAAACCCTAAGTGCAAGCACTGCTTGGAGAAATACGGCATGAACATAAACTTCCGGAGCTCCGCGCGGACTTCTGGGATCGACGCTGGACCCTCCCTGGCGCGCGGAGCGCGCCAGGGGCGGCGCCGGAGGCGCCGCCAAGGGCGCCCAGCGCAGATCCAAGAAACCCGCGAGGAGTTCCGATATTTCATGTCTATGAAACGTCTTCATTCGCAATCGTCGCAAACACTTGCCTATGGTCGGCCTCTGCTGGCCCTCGCCGGGCCCGCAGAGGCCGTCAAAACATGACGGGGGATGAAAAACTGGCCCCTGGGAGAGGCGCGGGACTTCGGGAAGCATCGAGACGTGACATGCCTGGGCTCCGTGCTCCCGCTCCTGCTCCTATCCTGCCGTCTCCTCCCCCTCCTGCTCCTCCTGCTGCTCCTGCTCCTGCTCCTGCTCCTGCTACTGCTCCTGGTCCTGGTCCTGCTCCTGCACCTGCTCCTGCTCCTGCTCCTGCTCCTGCTCCTGCTCCTGCTCCTGCTCCTCCTCCTCCTCCTTCTCCTCCTGCTCCTCCTCCTCCTCCTCCTCCTCCTCCTCCTCCTCATGCCTCTTCCTCCTCATGCCTCCTCCTCCTGCTCCGCCGCTGTCGCCGCTGGGTCCTAGTGGGTAGCGGCCGCGGCGTGCCCCGAAGACCCCACGGCACATCCGGCTGGCTCGGCCAGGGCCGACGTCCCGCCTGGCCTGCTCCTCTCGTGCTCTCATCCTCCTCCTCCTCCTCCTCCTTCTCCTCCTCCTGCTCTTTCTCCTTCTTCTCCCTCTCTTTCTCCTTCTTCTTTTCCTCCTTCTCCTTCTCCTCCTCCTCCTCCTCCTCCTCCTTCTGGCAGGTCTTGCCCTCGACCTTCGATGATTGAGGGGGCGAGGTTTTGAAACTCTGTGGAACGTCTGTGATCCTTCTTGGGCCCCATGGAAGCCTCTGGGGGCCTCCAGGCGACAGGACCCGGGTCGGAAACATATCTTACTACATCCCTCTTTTCTTAGGCAAGCCGCGATTTACATCCCTCCATCCCTCTCTCCCGCCATCCGTTCATCCCTCCTTGCCTCCCTCATCCCACCTCCCTCCTCCCACATCCCTCCTCCTCCTCCTCCTCCTCCTCCTCCTCCTCCTCCTCCTCCTCCTCTTTCTCCTCCTCCTCCTCCTGTTCATCCAGGTCCTCCGCCGACGCGGAGCAGCCCCGCGCTCGGCCTGACTGCTCGTCCGATCGATCGGGCTGTTGCGTCGAGCTGGCCGATCGATCGATCGACCCGAAGTAACCCCGAGCTGCGTCGAACCATCCTTCGGCCCCCGAGCCTCCCCTGAGGAGAACAATCGTCGTGTTGGGAGGGAGGGGCTGGGAGGAGGAAGGATGTGAGCAGTGGCGCCCGGACGCAGTGAACGATGCCTCCGGCCGCCCATGGGCAAAGAAATCCTCGCCTCTCCCGGCCCCACCCTCCCCACCCGATGCTCGCCTTCCCGATCCCCCTTCTCGGGCCGGGCGAAAGGAGGGGATAGCAAAGGGGGGGTCTGAGAATCAGCTCATGTAGCTGATTTTCCCGGCGCCTCCCGGCGCCGGGAGGCGCCCGTGCATCGAGGAATGGGCCCGGCGGCGGGGCCGAAACCAGCTGCATGCAGCAGATTTCGTAACCCCCCCTTTCCCTGTCTCCCCCTTTCGTTCGGCCCGACCTTCGCCTCCATCCCCCGCCCCGCGAGCGGCGTGCGCGGGGGCCACTCGCCGGAACGAGCACGCGGCACGGGGCGCCGACCCAGTCGAGGTGCGGAGCGGGGCCGACGCCTCCCGACCTCCCCCAGCAGGGGGGCCTCGAGGACTGGCACCAGGACTCCTCCTCCTCCTCCTCCTCCTCCTCCTCCTCCTCCTCCTCCTCTCCTCCTCCTCCCTCCTCCTCCTCCTCCTCCTCCTCCTCCTCCTCCTCCTCCTCCTCCTCCTCCTCCTCCTCCTCCTCCTCCTCCTCCTCCTCCACCACCTCGAGATGAGAGGAGCCCAGGGACACACAAAGAGATGGGCACAAGCGCCAGGATTCCAGTGTTTTTTCCAAGGCACATTTTCTGGGTTCTCGTCCTCCCCCCCACTTCCCATATCTTCCGATCGTCTCCTGGGAGACGGCGATCAAGTGTGTCTGTGTTTGGGCCCCCCCCCCCCCTGAGACATCTGCATCCCTGTTGAGGTCTTGAAACGTCCAGATCGGTTTGATCATGCGGCGTCTTCTGGGGCCGTCGTCCGTTCCGTCGCGCCCCGATCCGCGCCGAAGCCGCGTCGAATACATGTCGAACCCACGCCAAATCCGCGTCGAATCCATGTCGAACCCACGCCAAATCCGCGTCGAGTCCGCATCGAGCCCGCGTCGGGCACAATCAACTGCTCCAACTCTGGGGACGGGCGGGGCCCCCCAGAAGATGCGACGCAAAATCTGCAGATCTGGAAGGCTACGTGTTTCGAACCCTGCAAGCTCAGGGCCCCGCCCCCCCCCCTTGGAGGTCTGGAAATGGGTACCAACACCAAGACAGAGGGCTGCCTCCACAGGGGGGAGGTGATCCTAGATTTCGGTGTTGGTGGTAATATTTCGGCCACCTTGGAAGCCAGAATCTTACCACCATCACCGAGATCGGGATCTTCTTCCCTCGGTGGAGGAACACCGCCGATCTTGGTGTTGGTGTCAACCTCTAGGCCTGCGACCCCCCCCCTCTCTCGGGAGCGGCCAAGAGGGGGGTGTCCAAGAGGGGGGGGTGCAAATCATGACCGGCGGCATGTGCGCGGCCCAGCGGGGGGGCCAGGGACGTAATGAAACAAGAAGAGACGCCATGAAATCTGGGGAAATATCATGACCCACGCCATGATATCCACCCCCTCCTAGTCATCACCCCCCTCTTTCCCGCCCCCCCCTCTCTCTTACGGCCGGGCGCGGGGACCAGAACTCTTCGAGGGGGCTCTTGGCCGCCTGGCCGTTGCTGCGCGCGGAGGCGCTGCCTGGCGGCCGCAGGGCAGCGGGGGGGTCGGGCCGGGGCGCGGGCGCGCGGACGAGCGGCTGCGCGGCTTCTCGCCCCGCGAATGGGCGCCCTCCCCGCTCGCATCCGCTCTCCCCTGGGCCCTACAGCCCTCGTCAAGATTAACCTCAAGAACGTCTGACGTGGTTGAGCTGCTGGTCGGAAGATCTGGGGCCGAGCATCGATGAGTGCGGGGTACTTGCGTGCGCCGCCCCTCCAGTGTCGGTCGACGTCAGGCTTTCGAGTCAACTTCGGTCAGACTATCTTTGCCCTCGCCCAGACATTGAAGGGGCGGCGTGTCGACATTGAGGGGCGCGCCGACATCGAAATGACGTGCCAGCAACTGTTGAGGTTAATTTTGACGAGGGTAGTGGGTCCCCTTCTGACCTCATTCACAACTACACGATACGAGTACCACTTTCCTCTCTCCCCCTGACCCTGTCGAGGAAATATTCGGTTCTCTGCGCGAATTGTTATCACACTCGAGATTGCAATGCTTTTCTTGCTGTCTGGCTTGAAATCTGGTCGTTGCCGGTCCTTCTAGTTGGTGCTGCCGCTGCAGCGTG